GGGGAGAGAGAGAGAGAAAAAAAATAATAGTAATAATACTAATAGAATATTCTTGAATTACTGTAATAATCATAATGATTTAAAATTAACAGCAGCACTGAACTTGTAAGAAAACAAAAATTAACAATACTACGATGGCTAGTTATTAACCGATTTTTTCATTATATATTTTCTTTTACAGTGAAATCTCATTAGCATGGTGTCCATTAACATGTTTTCCCACATGTCTGAATTTTTAAGCCCGCATCGCAAATCTGTTAAATTACTTGTTTAAACGATTAACAATTCTGCTTAGCACATTTAAATTTGTTGGAAACATTTTCCAGGATTCTTGAGTTTTCTAGTGGACCCACATTGTCTTCAATGTGTGAGTGTCCAGAGAAAGAGAGATGGGCAGAGATGGACAAGAAAGCACAGATGGGCACTTTCAGCCTGTACGATTATGAACTGAAGATAAAGGGAAATGTGATGTTCTGGATCTCTGCCATCTTTGTTCAGTGGCATTACCATGCAATTCTTTAATTTTGACACAGAGGATGCTGATTTTTAATTAATTTGCATTATTTATTTACATGTAAGTTTGGTTTTATTTAGTTATTATATGCAATTAAATTAACCTGATGTGTAATGGTGTCTTACATGTAAATTAGCTTCTATTTCATATTATTGTGTACTGAATAAGGCAGGATGGCCACTCATTCTGGAACAAATTTCCATGTCATCTCTAGTACATTTTTCTAATAAGATATATAATTTCACACTTAAAGAAATTATTTAAATTATCCAGATACTAATTGTCCAGCTCTGATTTTGCCATGACAAAGTACAAATTAATATTTTCTCACTAAATACAAATTGAGCAAAACAGTGATGTACTAATGTTTTTAAGGAATAATACCTAGTTTTACAACATACTAAAACTTTTCCCTGATTTCTTATGACTCTCATACAAATTCCCTGGTTCTCCAGTTTTTTCAGATAGTGGCCACCCTGCAAGGAAATGTGAAATTGACAAATTGAGCATTTCTTAACATTTTCCTGTTTACAATGTTCAAAACTTCTGATTCTTTGAAAAAGTGCAAATGAGATTCCACTGTACTATCCAAAAATCCCTCACAGGAAATTTATTTAACACTGCAATATCTGACCTGATTGACCACATAAGAGCTCCATTAGCTAGGAATTTTGTGAAGCCGAGACAGATGAAGGCACAAATATTTGCAACACAACAGCCCAAAAGATTGACTGACTCACATTTTCATTAAATATGAACTTCATAAACAAGATGTCAATTACAACACTATTTTTGCACTTGTATAATTTTTTTGTTGCTAAAATAACAAATGCAAGTAAATCGAATAAGTTCCTGAGATGTGAATTTTGTTTCTAGATTGAAACATTTCTATATTGGTGTTACATCACTAGAGGCAACTACATCTTTACTCTAGAGGATATACCAGAAAAAAGTGTTGGAAGGTACTTTTCTGTCCAACTTACTGCAATGAAGGTAAATTCTAAAATGTGAAGACGAAGAAGAAGTGGTAGAAAAGTAACCATTGCACAAGATTGTTAAAAGTTGTCATTATCACAATATAAAGTTTTTCTTATTCGCTATATATGACAAGAAATGCAAGTCCAAGAGCACCATACAAACTTTGGAATCCCAGTTAAAATTCACAAATATGATGCAACTTACTTTTAATGGATGGAAATGATCGAGTCAAAACTACTCTACAACTATCATCACTGCTAATAGCTATTCCATATAGCTAAGAATTGACCAGGCATCTCACCATATGAGACAGTAAACTTGTAAGCAAGACTGCCAACAGTCCTGATCTCTACTTCAATTATTTTACAGCTTTTAAAAGCAGAAATTTTAATCAGAATTCAAAGTTGTGTGTGGTGGTAGAAGATTTCTCACAGCCATATTTCGGATCTATCAGCAAAGTGCGTCTTGCTGTCTTTCACGTATGGTCATGTCCAGCATATGTACAGTCTCAGGCCAATATGCAAGCATTGCATTATGCTTCATCAGGGGAAGCTACTCAAAACAAGGGTCATGTACAACCAAATGAACAGGATACACATAACACATGCATACCAGTAAATGCATATAGGGGTACATGTGTGGTTGCATTTTAATATATTTACATATATTGTCTGGAAACAACACTTCCAGTTAAATAATAATAAAACTGCATTAAACATAGTTGGTAATTCTCATTTGTCTCCATTTCTCACAATGGTGCTAATAAAGTCTGTAAATAATTACACCATTAAGGAAAAAAGCTGCCAAAACATTCATCTGAAAGCTGGCTGAGAATGAAAGGAGTTTGTAGTAAATAACTTACAATTTTGGAGGTTACATCCAGATTATATGCTTTTTTTTGTATTTACAAATCAACACATGTAACAAACATGCAGAACAACAACTTTGATTTAATTGAAGAGTTCTAGAAAACCAAAATAGACCTGGCAATATCAGAGTCCATAAGATAACAAAAAATATCAAAAATCTCCATCACAAGTCTCTTAAACAAGGAATTTTAACCAATATAAAATAATAGCAAAGGAAATATTCACTTCACTGTTCTTTGCTGAACCTTTCAATTGACAAATTCATTCATAATTTGTGAGTATGGCACATGCACACTTCACCATCTTGTAACCCGCAAACTTACATATAATGACAAACTTCAGCAAAATGTTTAAATTCATATATTTTTTCCTTTAATGACATAATAATTTACATGGTGGTAGTAGCTTGAAAAGTAAGTTGGGTGCAGTATAAAATTTTTTCCCCAATATCAGAAATCTGATGAGCCTTACATCAGGAATATAATTTGTTCCAAGTATTTCTTAATCCCAGAGTAATCTTTACTAAAAATTTAGGAACTGGCACTGGAACAAGCACAAACACTAAAACATTCTCATTGGTTTTCTAATTTTGATTTTTATTGACATCAACAGCTCATCTTTAAGTATTAAAAGTGATATTAAAACAACTTAATACTATATCATTGCATTTAAGCCTACATTTCTTCTGTAAATATATTCCCATTACTTTGTTTTCTTTAATAAACATGGTACACCACACTCAATGCAAGCAAAATGCTTGGAGTGTATATACGTCACAAATTACTATTTAGAAAATTACTTTGTAAAAGTAAGAGTACTTGGAAAATAAACTACATAAGTATTAGGAAAAGATGAACTTGATGTTATCTAAATAAAATCAATTGAAGGAAGAAAATTTGTACAGAATAACAAGTTTGTGGGTTACCTTATATTACTCTTGCCTAACCAAAAAAGCAGCAGTTAGATAATGGAAGCACAAGCTTTTGACTCCTCACACTGCACCACATGCCAAGCATGACTCTCAGCATTGTCCAGAAACTGTGTTGGAGACAATTCAACAGCATGATTGTATATGTTTAGGACACTAACTTTCATAATGACTAGCCTGAGGTAATCAAAGACACTTTACCATGGATTCAGTCAGGTGTGTTTCATTTCAATCATTCTAAAAAAAAATCCTCTAAAAATTGTGTACATTCTTTCCAAAGTTATAATTACTATCAAATTATCTATAAAATCAGTTCAACATGAACATTATGGTAAGAAGTGTAGCAATAAAAGGCTCTACTTTGTTAACATACCATACCATAAACTACGATCTTCATATAGACTAGTAGAACTTCAATTCACAACCCAAGACTATATGTCATATTACATTTCACGCTAACTGAACTAGATATAATGTTTTTTGTTCACAAATTTTGTATTATATGATAGATATAATAAGAGTTAACAAAATGGATGAAAAGAATAACAGAAAGGATAGAATAAAGATAATTGGAATAGATAACTGCCATGTACCAGTTTCTAATAATATCAAATCTAGAATTTGTAAAGAATTTAATAGAGTTCATCTTCTATTATGTCAATGTTAAATATCACCAAAAAAAGAAACTGTTGTAACATGAAAATAAGGTTAAGAAACAAACAAATCAACAAAAAACTCTAATAGATCTACAAAAGGTTTCAGAATTGCCTTATGCAAACAGTTTAACTTAAAAAAAGCAAGTAATAGTAAATTAAAAAAGAGTAATAACTTAAACTATTTTTCACAATTTTCTGAAAAGACTTTGGCAGATACAAACTCCAACCACCTTCATAAAACAAAAGTTCTGCTTTCTTTCAATGAAGAGTACATCAAAAACCATGTTACAACTGGACGACTCTCATAACTCTTAGGCCCTTTGGGTCCATTTGTTACGCCCCTGCACTTCAAATATTGTTTGTCCATTTTGGATGGATCAGAAATGAATATACACCAAAACTTTATTAAAATCACTTCTCCATCCACCATCAATATGAAATGTTACATATATTTTCCCTCCCAGAAAAATGTATTTTGTAATAGAGTTACTGTCAAATTCAGGACATTCAAATAAGTTTGTCACATACATCAAGGCATTCACATCTAACAGATTGAAAACCCTGATGATGGCAGATATGACAAATTTTTAACAGGCCTTTATCTACGAAGGTGTTTAATTATTAGACATTGATTTACTGAATAGGGCATTCTGCTTACGAAAGTGAATTCTTTATCATCAATAAAACAGGTTCATATTACTAGAAGTTTGTATGTGGAAACAATGTTTACGAATTGTCATATGGATTTTTGAAGTGCGATAGCTTCAAATGTCTCGTCAGCAAAGTTTGTTAGGAATCCTCTTTTGAAGTGGACAAGATGCTTGTCAACAGTATTAAAAATATATTAAATGTGATGGAATTGACAGCTAATAGGAAATGAAGAAATAAAATGATAAACGTTCTAATAAATGGAACTGAATTATGTACATAATTGATTCTCAATAGCTACATTTGTTTGTAATTAATTTTGTTTAAAGTAAGCAAACACAACTAGAATGAAACATAAATAATATTTACATAAAGAAATGCAAACTTACATTGAAATAAAAATGAAATTTGACAGAGACAGAGAAGAGAAAGAATACACAAGTATGAATGCAATTCAACAATATTCTACATGTAATTGTTACCTGACAATTCCTCAAATCATTGAAAATCAAACACATATTCAAAGTTAAAGCTTTTTCACCTACATTCATTCCAATGTATTAGAGATCTACATGACACATTACTAACTGACCAAAAATCCCATGGTAAAGCATCATTACATTAATTCATTTTTACAGCACATATTCACAGTCAACAATCAAAATCATTAAATTACCACACAGAAACCCCAAACAATTCTGACACAGTGAATATGGCACGCTGCCATACCAAAAATAATGTCACCTGACACATTCTAATTTCTTTTATCTTCTTCTTCTTCTTTGTCTTCTGAAAATAAAGAACTAAAGTTGTTCTTTGTAAGGAGTTTTCATTATACGGTGCTTTCAGTTTACCTTCCTTCTTCATAACAACATGCTTTGACGCCTGCTGCGACCTGACACACCTGACTTTGGGAAACCCGAAGCTCGGTAGCCAGGATCTTTATTTAACTGTATTCCAGGTACAGTGAAGATAGAAACCACTACAACAGAAAGTATTTCAGACACTTGGGTTAAGAAAGAAGTCTCTTATACACTACGCGTAGTACTAATTACAATTAACATGTTAGTAATATGACTGACAATTTAGTTGATGTCGCAGACACTCACTGCGTTTTTTGCAAGTATGATTATAAAATTTATCAGATATGCATAATTCGAATTTACAGTAAATCCTCATTAACACAAATTACGATTGGACCGAAATAATCAGAGTTTGTGTTATAGAAATTCATTATTTGAGGTATAAAGTGTAAATGGCCATATTTTGACTAAATATAAAGTAACCACTGGTGTTCCACAAGGTTCACATCTAGGGCTTGAGAGTACTTTACTTTACTTGAGAGTATATCCTCACTAGCTGTTGGTAAAATAAGTGGCAAGTCTCTTTAAATTCCATTTGACACAACCATGCAATTATGCAACATTATCTCTATCACACTGCATTTGGAGACATTTCAGATACTCTCTCCTGCACATATCAAATTGTATTAATTTTCATTAATTACTTAGTGATGGTTACTCATTAAGAGTGACTCTGAATATACATGATATTGTGAAGAGACATGCAGTGTAGTGATATTCAACACTGTTATTTTAAGTTATACTTACTTGCATTATCATTAAATTAATATTTTTAATCGATCTGAACCGTTCTTGCCAAAAATCGATACCAAATTTCTTCCATAAAGAATGTTGGAACAAGGAAAGATGGGGAGGAATAGTCAAAGACAGATGAGTTAAGAAGAGGGTGAGGAAACCAAAATAAAAATTGATTGATTGTTTAGTGATTCCGGGCACAGTCGTTTTTTACTCAGGAAGCGGCGGTGATACCCCGCTGTATGGAGAGATCCAGTGCTAACTTACTATCGGCAAGCAAGATTACCAAGTATCTCCCACTAACGGGGCACTGCCCCAGCCGGGACAAGCTCTTAGCTCCCAACTGGTCTCCTGGGAAGGATAGATAGAGATAGAGAGAGTGTGTGTGTGTGTGCGTGTAAGGGGTAATATTAGGACAGGAAGAGGAAGGTGTGATCACACGCGGTTTGTGGCCCGTTTGTTAGGGAACTGCTCTGGCATTCACCTGGTGTTGATCGGAGAAACCATGCGAAACTACCGATTAGAGCAGCCAAGCATTAGAATTCTCCACCACACAGCGACTGAATTCAACCTAGCTAATAAGCTAGTGTTGAAAATCCTGCCACCAATGGGACTCCAACCTAGGACCTCCCAGTCAGAGGAACTGCAGTGACATCAGTTGATACCCTGAGCCATCTCTCCAAGTCCAAAAGAAAAAGAAAAGGAAGAAAACTAAAAAAACGAAATGGACACAAAATGAATATTGGCAAACACATACCATCAGGTAGCTTATGGACAGCTGGGCCCAAGGAACGGAAGTATGTATGCTTCATGGCATCCGCGGCAGACACACGCTTTTTGGCTTCATACTGCAAAACAAAAAAGAAACATTACAACTTATCCTTTTCTAAAACCTAAATGTTTTCACTCATTTGAAGAAATCCAAAAACACAAATTCGAATGCTTTTTCACATTAGGTATTACCCACAGAGAACTAGTAAGCCGGAAATAGAAGTCTCCAATAAAAGGCTATGTACAGGGTGTTTACTCTAACTCACCACCCATGTCTGGGAACACCACCCAGACAATTTGGCAATATGTAAAATACTTTTAGTATCCCTTTAACTTTTAGCGATCCATGGCATCATGCCCTCAGATTTCGGGCTGGAAGAAACACAAAACACTTATTCTGTCCTTGTTACTCTTCTATGTACTGCAGCCACTACCCTGAAAAGAGTAAACACTTGTCTCTTGGCAATGGTAGTCACTTTGACCATTTATTCTAAGGTCAGTTTATTGTCATTTTAAGAAAATATTTTTTTAAATTAATTTTATTAAGATTTTCTGATTTAATTCACAGGTTCCATAATAATAATATCATAATACATTATTATTAATATTATTATTATAATAATAAAAAATGAAGGGCTTGGCAGTAATATTTCACAAGATATTTTTCTGATTTCGAACTCTTTTCTCTGAACCGAGTTCCATTAAATATTAATTATTATTGTGTTGTTAATAAATCAGTCATAACTTTGCTCCACATCTTCTGTACTAGTTTTATTTCTTTAGTATATTGGACAGAATCGCCTAAAAATAGGTTTTGTTAAACGGCTCATTTGTCTGCCCACCCCACTCCACCCACCCTAGGCAGCGCAGAACGATTACTGGCATGAGAGCCATGTACCTGCCCTTGCCAAAACTCTTGAATGGGAGAAACAGAAACAGGAAAGTATGCTACAGCTTATGACCTGATGCTTACCTCCTCCTCCTCTACTGTATCAATGTGCCATGGCTGTCTTGAAAGAAGGCAAAGATGTGGTTGCCAAATTGTCAAAACAAGAACAGGTGCTACCAGTCAAAGGGTTGCATGTTAAGATAAAAGTCCCTTTACATTACAACAGTAACATTGTGTAAGGGCATTGGTAGAAGTTAATTGCTCTATTACACAATGTTTTCATCAGGTTTGGAAAACATCTCATCTCTTCCAGTCTTCAGATCTTGAACCAAAATTATGAGCTTACAAGTCACTTTTATATAAAAGGGACTTGATCACTAGGCTTAGGATTTTTAGACACAATATTTTACTTTTTTGGCCATAAACATTCAAAATTCACTCCTAACAGATTTCATGACTTTATAGTATTATTAATCCACATTTATAGTTCCTAAAATTCACCCTCTAAAAGAATGAAAATGCATTTGGTAGAAAGTGCTAAGGACAATAAACTTCAAAGTTGGTAGACAGAACACCTTACTAAGGCTTCCACAAACTGACTCAGAACATTTGCAATAGTAGCAGAGCCGAAAGTTTTATAACAGCAGCGGTGGCAATATCCGTTCATCCATCCAGATTGTACCATCAGTTATAACTCAGCAATTGGTGGCAATGATTTCCTCATCTGATGAAGATGCGAGAGAGGCCAAGTTAGTAATTTTCTAATCACATGTGTGGTACGTTGCTTTTATCTATTTCATCTATGATCTTCCATTGAACTGATAATGTCTATTTGGAAAACAAAATAAATGGGGTCATCTTAATATAGAAAGAAAATGTACAGGAGAGAGAGAGATAGAGATAGATAGAGATAGAGAGAGAGAGAGATAGAGAGAGATAGAGAGAGAGAGAGATAGAGAGAGATAGAGAGAGATAGAGATAGAGAGAGATAGAGAGAGAGATAGAGATAGAGAGATAGATAGAGATAGAGAGAGATATAGAGAGAGATAGAGATAGAGTGTGTCTGTGTGTGTCTGTGTCTGTGTGTGTGCGTGCGTGTGTGTGTGTGTGTGTGTGTAAGGGAAGAAGATAGGACAAGAAAAGATTGTATGCAGTCCATGGCCCATTTATTACAATACTGCTCTGGCATTCACCTGGTATTGATCAGAGGAACCATCGAAAAATACCAATCAAGCTGGCAAGTAGAATTCTCCTTCAGACAATGGCTGAATTCAATGAATGAAGACAATGGCTGTTTAGTGTGGAAAATCCGACACAGTTGGGACTTGAACACGAGGACCACCCGGTTCGAGTCGCTGCAGAGAGTGAAAATGCTGTCTCTAAACTTATCTGGTTTTAATATATTGAACAATGATGGAATTTTATTTTATTGAATGTACGTACACACAGGAACTTAGTTAACAGATCCACAGCATCTGCGTCTAGGCGAGGGGCCCAGGAAAGCAAAGGGGCTGGCTGGTAATGAGGGATGTCGTAGGAGGCTGCCATGCCACCCCACGCGTCTGCTGGTGGAGAGCCGAGGGCACGGAAAATGAGTCTCAGCTCCTCTTCCACAGTGGAACCCGGGAACAAGGGACGGCCACATGCCATTTCGTAGAAGATGCAGCCCACTCCCCTAAACATAAGAAAGCAAAAAATCAAGATCCATTTTCTACCTATACATTATTACATTTTACACACAAAAACATTAAAATGTACACAATCTTCAGCACTTACAAAGTGAGTATTTATTAATTGACCTGAAAAATAAATGACCTGGCTGGAGTAACTGTACCACGTGTACCGAGTAGACTAATAAAAGTGTAGGTTTCCACGACTGGGGTCAGTACGTACTTGTCTGTTTGGGAGACACTGTGTCCTAGGACCAGATGCCATGTTTCAGTTCTAATGCTGCGACCACCCTACTAACATTTCCTTAGCATTTTGCTCTGAGGATAGTCACAACATGACAGCCGAAATGTTGGCATCTCAACCTAAGATGCATCGTCCCCTGGACAACCAAGTACTTTAAGGACTGTTGTCAGTAATACTGGCTGATAATTACCACATATCTATTGATTGTTATTGATATGAACTTGCATGAAGAACCGACAGGAAATAACGGTACTTTTATTGTTCACTTTTCGGATACACCCATGTTATTTCTCAAATTCACCACTTGCATGCTAGTGGGAATGACAAGGGACCAAATAGGACTATACCTGATGTAAACAAACATCATTAGTTCTGATATTGGCCAGTCATTAATTTTTCTGGTTGACTAATATATAGGCAACACTACAAATAATTAAGGCTCCTTATAAATTCTCATAAATTTAAAAAAATGACCTTTTAGCTAACTCAAGTCTGTGATTATTTGCAAAAGTAATAAGATTTTTAGTTGTCCTTTTAATAACGGCTTTGAAATGATACACAGATTTATTATTATTTTTAATTCCACCATACACACTCCATTTGACGCCAAAATTTTATTTAAGATTTAAATATATTGTTTAAAGTTCATAAGATATTAATTTATTTATTTTATTTATACACCAGGCTTATTTGCCCAAATGAAATTATATAATACACATAGTTGACATACATACAGAAGTTGGCGTAAAAAGAAATATTGAAATTAATAACATTAACAAAAAAGTGCAATTAATGAAGTTACAAATTAAAGGTAAATAATTCCAACTAGCTAAAATCCAATATTCTTTGTCTCAAAGATCTTACAAAACTTGCCTTTCTCATACCTAATTGTTCATTGCTCAAATCTTGTTAAACAGGGTATTGATGAACAATAGTAATTTTATGTTTAGCAAAACATTGTTTGAAATAGGACATCCCTTCTTGTATTACAAGGTTTATTGTAGTGAACGAATAAATTTCTTAATTCTGGACAATTTATATTAGTATTTAAAAGATTGTACATAAATTTATTGTCCTCAATACACAATATTATCATTATAAATTTTATCAGCAGGATATACCTCTTTGGTATCAAGTATACTTTAATTTTAACTTCTGGTGACTATACATACCACATATCAATTTGGGTAGAATATTCTGTAGATCCCAGGAGAACGTCTGGAGGCCGGTACCACAATGTGACAACTTCATTAGAGTAAGTTTTTGTGGGGACAGACTTGGCTCGTGCCAGTCCAAAATCTGCCAACTGAAATTTTAATATTTAATTGCATTCATTGTTTGAAAAGTTATATGAATGATTGAAATATAATTAAATTTATTGAGACCTTTGGAAGCTAGCTTTTTATACAGTTCTGCAATTGGTTATCATTCAGGATCGTTAACTGTTAAGATATTTGAATTACATGGTAGTGATGTTTATGCATGGAAGTAGATTGATGCATTTACAAACATCCTTTCTTTTCCACATTCAGCACCCACAAACATTGAAACTCAAAAAAGGTTAACTTCAGCTAACCTTATAGAAAGAGTTATTTTATCAATTTTCTTTAGTTTGAATGCAAACAAGGGTTTTCTTATCAAGCTCTTGAAACTGAACACAAATCCAAGGTAAGGATTATAGCTAGGGCTTAAGAATTATGTAAAATACATTTTACTGAATAAAATAATGAATATCATGCAACTTCTTTACTCTATTGGAATTGTGGGACCCCTCAGGAAACATCTCCCATTTCCTTAGGGAATGACCATATGCTCACACCCGACACCAGATACATACACACATACATACACACACACACACACACACACACACATATATACACATAAGTTATGAATAACTGATATTTTATTTGGTTCTCCCTTTCTTCCTGTTTATTACTCCTGACCCAACTTTTTAGTTCCTGTAACCTTTACTGGAAACTTAACTGATGCCATGTAAACACCATAATATAATAAGTGAAACAAGGCATAAGTTGTTTATTTCCCAATTTTTTTAAACTCCGGTGCTCTCCTAAAACAACTCATTCAGACGAAGAGGGAAAGGAGGAAATTTTACATCAATTGTATATGGAAGCAAGTTCCTACTTGAATAATTAGATCCACACTTATTCTTACTTTCAGTTCTCCTCTTTCATTGATGAGCAAATTTTGAGGCTTCAGATCCCGATGTAAAATTCTTCTTCTATGGCAATAGGCAAGGCCCCGAAGTAATTGAAAAAGAAAAAGCTGAAACAAAATATAGAATAAGGAAAAAAAAAAAAAAAAATCTTGTTAGATTTGAAGAAGCAGTCAAATTATATTCCAAGTATTTCTATTCTTGTCATACACACCTTCACATTGTTTAGACTGAGAATATTTCCACAGTCGTCCATATACTGCTTTAAATCTTTTTCTAAGTACTCAAAGACAAGTGTGAGTGATTTCTCAGTATGGACTATGTCATGCAATGTAACTAGAACAGATAAATTTGAACACATTAGATATTCAACATTTGTGTATTCTTAATTTTGTTAGCAAAACAAATACTCATGCCTTTGCTAAACATTTTTTATTCCAATTTCCTCACCTATATTGGCATGTCTCAGTTCTTTGAGGAGAGAAACTTCTCTAATGGCAGTGCAAGGTGCACCTTCTTCGTGCTCAAGGCGAATTTCTTTAAGAGCCACCAAGTTATCAGTCAGTCGGGACTTCCCCTTGAATACTGTAGCGTATGTGCCCTAAAAAAATAAATAATAATAATAATAATAATATAAAAAAATCAAGACCATTAACATGCACTGTTAATAATTGAAAAAGCATAAACAAACCAGAAAAGATACAAGAGAGGTACACTGGCAATCAAGTCAATACATACCAAGAAAGAGTAGCTAAATTACAACTGTGATAAGGAGTTTAATCGTATCATTTGCTAATTTACTTTTTAGCATATACTTGCATCGTATTTTACATAGAAAAACAATAGCCAATATACAAATGAAATGAAGTCAAAATACATACTGGGGGGGGGGGGGGGGGG